CATTTAATGTAATTTTACAGTAAAACAGTTTACAGATTTTGGATTGACAATCCCATAATTCCCTGCGTTACTCTTCAAATTGGATGTATTTTTGATTAAATTTTTCTTTTTCTTAGGTTTATTATCAGTTAGGGATTTATGTTACTTGTAATGTTGTTAAATGAATGTTTATTGCATTTTTTTAATTTCTTGTGTGTAATGGTGTTTAGTGTTCGTGGGAATGACACTGTGCAGAAGTATACTAATATTAAGTTTCCTGTGGAAAAGCTGCTTGTGATGAGCTTTGATTGATCATGTGACTCTCATCTCCACTGTGATTGGTGCTTGTCAGTGTATTACAAAGGTACAAAACTATCTGTTTTAGTACTTCAAATCTTTGGTTTTATTAACGTTATGTCAGATAATATATATATATATATATATTTTTTTTTTTACTGTAACTAAGTCTGTTGTTACTGTATTTTTTTACTGTAAATTTCACAGCTGCCAGTTTTTTTACCGTATTTTTTCATCTTTTACAGTGTGAGTCATTAGAAAGGGTGCATTGCATTCTGGGAGACAGCTTGTCTATAATTAACGTGCAGTTTTCCTTCAGATGAGCTGGGTTTGATTTGACGAGTGAAGCTCTTAATTTCAGCCCGAAGCTGTTCTCAGAGTTTGGCGTTGTGGTTTCGTGTGTATTCAGCCGTATTCCCGTGTGTGTCGGGTCGGTTCTGATCCGCTCGGCGCTGATGCCACACGTTTCTGTCGCCGCACAATCGATAGTCGCCCTCCGGGCCTCCGAGAGGAAGATCAAAGATCCCACTCATCGTCTCTGACAAAGTCTCTCTCTCTCTCCTCTAAATCCTGTGTGTTTTGTTGAACTTTTGAAGCGCTCCACTTTCTGCCGCTGCAAAGCCCCCAAAATGGAACTTGAAGTAATCAGAAATGTCAGAGCAGAAACCTAAAACATCATTATCTGGCCTCGTTTATACACATTTTCTCTTTCAAGCACAAGCCTCTTGGAAGTTTCTGTGCATAATTGGAAAAACAACAAACGTTAAAGCAATTCGAAGTCTCCAATAAACCGTCTTCCAATACAAAGTCTGTGTGTCGTGTCAACAACGCCTGCATGAGTCTTCCCCAACTCACAACTCACAAGGGAAAACTCAAGCAATTAACGTTTTTATTTCGTGGTGCAGACGAAAACATTTTTGTTTGTTATTTTTTTTGTGAATTTTTAAATATTTGTAAGATATTTGCGCAATTTTGAGAAAAAAAATATTAAGATTAACAACTCTGGATTTTGAGGTATAAAAGGAGAAAAATTTGGGAGTCACAATTACCTTTTTTAATATTTTTTTTAACGTTTTTTTTAAACTGAGATGTAAATTCAGAATCATTGTTATTGTAGTATCATTGAGATATTCATATTTTTATTTCATTTTTATTTTTATGTCCTCTGTTTTCCTTTTAATTTTACTTAAAGTTAAATAATTGAATAATTGTGTTTTTTATTTCTTTTTAATGTGTCTATATAGTTTTTATACATTTTTATTTCAGTTTTCAATTTTAGTTATTTTAGTACATTAAATTAAAACATTGCCTGCAAATAGCTAATATATATATATATATATGAAGAGTTCAGATGCAAAAGCCTCTAAATGCCATTTGAAATTTTCTTCTAGAATGATGATTTTTATCAAGCTTGTATATTTAAGTTCAGTGATTTCACTTAAATGGCAATGATAATTACCTATTAATTGTTATTTAAGTGAAATTACTGAAATTAAATATACAAGTTTGATAAAAAATCATCATTAAAGAAGAAAATTTCAAATGGCTTTTAGAGGCTTTTGCATCTGAACTCTTCATATATATTAATAGCTATATATATATATATATATATATATATATATATATATATATATAACATTTAATTTATTTAAAGCAACTATTTAAAAAAAATTTATGGTTCTACTTTTGGTTTTAGCTTCAATAATCTATAATAACCCTGCTCAGAGTTATGAGATTTAAACTCAAAATTGGAAAACCAGCGAACATTAAAGTTCATTAAACTTCTGCAACAAGTGGACTACAGCAAAATACTCCGCCTCATGTCGACACCTGTATGATTTTCTGTCACACAAGCAGATGTAAGATGCTCTTTTCCTCCAACGTAATTGACACCACAGTCATCCATATGATTCATGCATCAAATTTCAGAGTTGAAAAATGCATTCACCTGAATATGCATGAAACATAACATTTGAGAACTATGGTATATGTAAAGAATCTAATCCTAAACTTAATTTACTGTTTATTTAATTGATTTGTCAAGTGTTTGAACTGATAAAATCGTGTTATGTCGTTTTTGGAGATTTTGTACATTATTTTAGAGTAGTTTGTCAGTGCATAATGGCATAAGAGTTATATGAAATATGTGTTTTTGAGTATTGCAAAATTTTTATGTTTTGTATATGACTGTTGTGAAGTGATGTAATTCATGATAAGAGCTTATTGTTAATGTTCTATACTTATCTGCATAGTGTGTGTGTGTGTGTGTGTTAATGATGGTAATCTCCGTCAGTAAAAGCTGCTGATTGTAGAGGCTGGCTTCTCTCCCTGCTCTTTTAGCTCGACGTGATCTAATGAAATGCTGTCCTTGCACTTTAATGGAGGGATATTATACAACTCTTCCCCGAGAACGAGGGAAATGATCCTGGGAAAGGTGTGCTTCATACATTAGCTCTGAAGTCTAATGAACAGCCGTGAACTCTCTGTGTGTGCGTACAGTAACACTAATAATGGGCTGTCTGAGCCTCACGCGAGCTGCCCGAGACTCTTCTGCTGGAGAATGTTCCTGAAACATTCATTAAGAGTTTAATGTCTCTATAAATACTCAACGGCACATTTGTGTGCAAAGAGGGCTGAATAAGGAACACTATAAAAAAATCGTGGGTTATTTAGTTAGTTCGTTTTTGTGTTACCCAGATCCTGGATCAGACGTAACAACCCAGTGTTTGGTTAGTTTTTGTGTTACCCAGATCCTGGATCAGACATAACAACCCAGTGTTTGGGTAGTTTTTGTGTTACCCAGATCCTGGGTCAGACGTAACAACCCAGTGTTTGGGTAGTTTTTGAGTAACCCAGATCCTGGGTCAGACGTAACAACCCAGTGTTTGGGTAGTTTTTGAGTAACCCAGATCCTGGATCAGACGTAACAACCCAGTGTTTGGGTAGTTTTTGTGTTACCCAGATCCTGGATCAGACGTAACAACCCAATGTTTGGGTAGTTTTTGTGTTACCCAGATCCTGGATCAGACGTAACAACCCAGTGTTTGGGTAGTTTTTGAGTAACCCAGATCCTGGATCAGACGTAACAACCCAGTGTTTGGGTAGTTTTTGTGTTACCCAGATCCTGGATCAGACGTATCAACCCAGTGTTTGGGTAGTTTTTGTGTTACCCAGATCCTGGATCAGACGTAACAACCCAGTGTTTGGGTAGTTTTTGTGTTACCCAGATCCTGGATCAGACATAACAACCCAGTGTTTGGGTAGTTTTTGTGTTACCCAGATCCTGGATCAGACATAACAACCCAGTGTTTGGGTAGTTTTTGTGTAACCCAGATCCTGGATCAGACGTAACAACCCAGTGTTTGGGTAGTTTTTGTGTTACCCAGATCCTGGATCAGACATAACAACCCAGTGTTTGGGTAGTTTTTGTGTTACCCAGATCCTGGGTCAGACGTAACAACCCAGTGTTTGGGTAGTTTTTGAGTAACCCAGATCCTGGGTCAGACGTAACAACCCAGTGTTTGGGTAGTTTTTGAGTAACCCAGATCCTGGATCAGACGTAACAACCCAGTGTTTGGGTAGTTTTTGTGTTACCCAGATCCTGGATCAGACGTAACAACCCAGTGTTTGGGTAGTTTTTGTGTTACCCAGATCCTGGATCAGACGTAATAACCCAGTGTTTGGGTAGTTTTTGTGTTACCCAGATCCTGGATCAGACGTAATAACCCAGTGTTTGGGTAGTTTTTTGTTACCCAGATCCTGGATCAGACGTAACAACCCAGTGTTTGGGTAGTTTTTGTGTTACCCAGATCCTGGATCAGACGTAACAACCCAATGTTTGGGTAGTTTTTTGTTGCCCAGATCCTGGATCAGACGTAATAACCCAGTGTTTGGGTAGTTTTTTGTTGCCCAGATCAGTGTCATATTTAAACCCAAATTTGGTTGTTTTTAATGCTGGCTTATTTGTGCCACTTTTGCAACTTAAAATGTAATGGACACTTTATATAAATATCAAAATTCTGACTTTTTTCCTCATAATTCTCCAAATTGAAAGGTATAAACTCATAATTGCAAGATAAAAAAGTTGCAAAAACCTTTTAATTTTTTATTCTGTAGTGGAAACGAGCTTCAATTATATGCAGTGAAAGCGTCTCTGATTCGTGTGTCTCGGCGTCTGAACGGTTGATGTCTGAGACCGCTGCTCTCGAGTCGTATCCCAGCATGCTCTTTATTAGCACACTTATGGAGTGAGATACGAGGCATTATTTCCTCCGCAGAGATCGGCCTTTCTGATTAAATTAAATGGTGAATTATAGATGAAGCCTGGCCGGGTTCAGCCCGCATGCTTTGTGCTGATCTTTTGGTCTGAGCATCTTATAACGCGTTTGCCCTTGGTTTATATCCATAGAAGGAGTGATAAAAGATACATCAGCAATGCATGATGGGTCTGACAGCCGTATTTTTGTTTGCAGTGAAATAAAAACAGCGTGTCTATCGATTCTGTGCTGGAGAAACAGTATATCTATAAACTTCATCTGTGAAGGGCACCAGCTGTCTGTCTGCCATACATTATTCATGGATCTGGACATTTTAGATCTTGCTGATGTTTAGTATCATATAATTGGACGCTTTATTGCGCAGCATCAACTTATCTGCTGTGAATATGCATCAGGTTTTTCTCTGAATTCTCCTGCTTGTGATGGATTGATGTTTGTCCTGTTCAGGCCTCCAGGGGGCAGTCCAGCTGTTCATGCATTTAAACTTCACTCACACCAAACATCATGATCTGAGGTCATGTGACTTCATCTGTGAGACCTTGTGGGAAACTCGCATCACTGCAAAATACTGAAAGAAATGGTAACACTTTATTTTACACTGTCCTCGTTGCATGTTGCATGTATTTACCATAGTAAATTATGCATAATTACATGCAACTAACCCTCAACCAAATCTTAATTCTATATTAGTAAGTGCATGTAATTGCTTAATATTACCGAGTGCTTATATAATTATACTGTAACAATTACACCTTCAAATGAAGTATAAGCAAAGATCTTGTATATTGTTTGATAAAATAGAATCTATTTTGCATTTTTTAGGACCACACAGCTGTTTTTAATTGAAAGAGAACAGAACGAGAGCACAGGCCATGATGAAGCGCTGCTGAAAGGCATGCTGGGTAATAGTGACATGTCACTGAGGCACATCTGCAACAGGTTGAAGAAAACGCAGCCGAAGCCAAGACTGATTATGTGTAACTCTGAGTGGGTGAGTTCACATGAGTGACCTGAACCGGGAGTGTGTGTGTGTGTGTGTGTGTGTGTGTGTGTGTGCTTCAACTCACTGATGGTTGTTGGTAAGAACAGTCTGACAGTGTATTGTCCTGTCCTGTAAATGCGCCTGGGATTGATAAAAATTTACTGGGATTGATAAAAAAGAAATTATTTCAAAATTCAAAATTCAAAAAATTCAATTTTAATTCAAAAGTTACTTATTTATGTTTGTGCTGTTAGATTACTGTTAAATCTTACCTTTCATGAACCATATCATTCACATCCCTCAGAGAGACCCGAGAATATCACAGAGATCGCCTAGCAACCACTCAGAATACCCAACTGCATAGCAACGCCCTGGCAACCGCCCACAAAACTCTATCATGATGGTGAGTTAAACAAAACCCACTAATTTTCTTCATAAAATGTAAAACTGTATGTTTTAATTGATATTTATTTATTGATCTTTATTTGTTTGTTTTCATATCTCTTTATGAATTTTTAATTCATATCTCGTTTATTTAGTTATGGATTTTTTTTTACATATTTATTTATTTAATAAATCTAATTATTTATTTATATTTAATTCTTAATTATTCTATCTATCTGTCTGTCTGTCTGTCTGTCTGTCTGTCTGTCTGTCTGTCTGTCTGTCTATCTATCTATCTATCTATCTGTCTGTCTGTCTGCAGTATTCAGTATTCAGTATTCAGTGTGTGTACAGTATTCAGTGTGTGTATATACCGTATTCAGGGTGTGTACCGGCCTCCATTCGTATAGTAAAAGTTATAATATAATTGAAACTCGCATCATATCATGGCCATCTGTTAATGCAGTGCATCTCATCATGATCTTCATGCAATCTGGAGCTTTCAGAGATTTTGTCGATGAGAGTTTCTGACATTACCAGGGGGCAAATAGTGTAATTGATACCAGTCCTGCAATCCCTGAGAGAAGCATATGTGCATCACACACCACACATACATCAGCAGCGCTAATGCATGAAACCTGTAAAACACGCTCTGTTGTTTGATATTACACCGCCGTTATTACAGTTGTAGCTCATTTTGACACACTTCCTGCGTTTTCTGTGAATATGAACCCTCTGTAATGTGTAATTCTGCATTATTGCCTTCTCCGTGTAGGGTAAACATTATTGTTTGCGTGTGATGCTCGTTTGAGCCAGGGCTGTGAACGTGAATGAATTGCTGGTGTTGTAGTTGCTGATTGTGAGCGGAGGCTGTAACACTTACTCATCCTGTCAGCTTTCAGAACCAAAAGAAAATGAAAGAAGAGTTGTGTTGATGCGGAGGAGAGTCGGATATGCCTGGGTTCACTCAAGAAAGCACGTCTGAACCGGATCAGATTTACATCCAGCCCGTAATTGACTTGAGGTGTGTGAAGGGTTTGGTGTTCTCGGGCCGATTTCAGCAGCGTCACGCTCCGCTGAGGAGCAACACGTACACCTCTGCTTTGCTCTTTTGCATGCAATAACTTCTAATTGCTGGATCTCCGGTCCGGTCGCGTGACTCCTGTACCTGCTCGCGCCCTCGCGTTCACCCGGGATTTGAAATTCATGTGCCGTCCGAGTCGTCAATCACGCTGACAGCGGAGAGGCACAATCCAGAAACACTGCTTACATTACAGTTAATTGTTCAAAAGAGCTACAGTAGCGTGGACGAGCTAGAGTTCATGTTTGAACTGTTACAATGAAAAATTTATCAGTTCCCAAACCTGTGATTCGACTTGCTAGACCGCATTTGAAGATGTCATAGATCTTCCAAAAGTCAAATAGAATTATGCATTTGAACAGATGCTTTTATCAAAAGCGACTTACAGTACATTGTAGGGGTGTCACAATATATCGCAATACAAAAATGCACGTATCGTGGATGGATAATGACTATAGTTCACCCAAAATGGAAATTAGCGCGCATGAAAAAATGTATACGTTTTAGTGTCTGAACTACATTAAACTGTAATGTTAAATATAATGTCTAATAATGCGATGGGGAATATTTATGGGTCCTGATAATGCCAAATCTCTGATGCTACCAGTAAAAGTGTCCAACATTATTTTAAATATACTAGTCAGTGAGAGAGATCATCATATATCAAAATATCTTGAATGTAACTCGACACCCTCGCCTCATTTAGTATGTGCGGTTCTATGAATATGCAAATGAGCCCCGCCTCCACTCACTCACTCAGAGATCCACTGGTTGACGAGCACACGTTTTCCCGAAAGCATCTTTAGCCAACTATGGTCGCAATTTCCATTGATCTCTATTGGAAAACGGCGGAACTTGCGACCATAGTTGGCTAACGATGCTTTCGGGAAACGCACCCCTGATTGGTCACAAGGTGGTTTGTGACGTCAGAAACACCAGCGATTTCAAAGTGTGTTTTTGAGACTGTCTGCAGTTTTAAGGAGGAAATACTCAGCAATGCTGTCCACTTAGATCAACTTACACATGATGTGTGTTAAAGCGTATTAAAAACACCACACACACACATAAACAACATTAAACGCTGGATTCTCACCAGAGAGGGACTTTATTCTGATTGTTTGCTGAAGTATATACTGTATGCTTCCCTAATAGGCAACTCAACTCAAGCTAGTGTTTAGAACAGAGTTTATGTTTTCTTTGATCAGACGTGCTTTCATTCGGTATATCCGCTCCTGTCATCCTCACGCACTTTCCCTCGGAAACAATTCAATTTTAATGGTGCCAGATCCGTGTCTTTCCTGCGGTTGTTTACAGAGGGGTTGTACAGTATCTTGAGTGACACTGAATGCTCTCCTCACACACACACTTTGAAGTGCGCAACAAGCCCTCTGTGTGTCTCTAAGTGTGCTGATATGGAAAATGGCATTACAGTAAACATCATAATATTCTCACGAGCTCGCAGCTAATGCCGCTCGATGGTTTTCCCATCATCCTTTGCTCTCTGTGTGAGAGAAAAAGGCACCACGGTGGTGCTTCAACCCATCTGGCGTCTTGGATCTATATCGGTCAGAAAGGAAGATGGGTTGTGAATTCATGTTGATTTTAAGAGCTCCTTGATTGCAAAATAACAATAAGAACTAAATGTGGAAAGAAAGAAAGAAAGAAAGGGGTGATGATGGCGCAGTGGATAAGACACATGCCTTTTGGTGTGAGAGACCTGGGTTCGAATCCACTGTGAGACACCAATGTGTCCCTGAGCAAGACACTTAAAGGGATACTCCACTTTTTTTTGGAAATAGGCTCATTTTACAACTCCCCCAGAGTTAAACAGTCGAGTTTTACCGTTTTCGAATCCATTCAGCCGATTTTCTGATATTTAGAAGAACATCAGTAACCAGACAGTTTCTGGTCTCATTGACTTCCATAGTATATTTTTTTCCTACTATGGAAGTCAATGAGACCAGAAACTGTCTGGTTACTGATACTCTTCAAAAACATAAATAGTGTTTTGTCGCTGTGGCGTGAGATCGAGATCGCTCTGGCTCAGCTCAAGAGAAACAGCAGCGTTGATCTCTCTTCCGGCTTAATAATACCAGTCACAGCGCCAAATAAACATGAATGAGCATCTGAAAGTGTGTTAAAGATAGAGTACAACTTATCCAAATCTGTATCATGTCACATTGATTCGCTCAATCAGCGTTTCAACCGTGGAAAGACGTCAGCTTGTAATCAATGTCATCGTCATATTTACCTCAGAAAACCCACATAAACTCGTTAGTCAGCGAGAAAAAATAACTCCAGAGAGAAGCATTTTGCTAAATATATACACCATATTACATATGAATTATAATCGCAATGTTCTTCAATATTTAATGCATATTTGAATAAATCTGGCAAGTTTTTATGACAGCCACCATTTAAATGTTTATATTTCATAGTTTACTCCCATAGTTTACAGCATTAGTTAAGAGATTTGATTTCCTTGAGAAAATGTGCCATTTATTGTAACTGATATCCAAAATAATCAATATTGAATCGAATCGGAATCGAACTGCAAGCTTGTGAATCGAAATCGAATCGAATTGTGAAATTTGTGTCAATACCCAGCCGTACTGCTGATAACGACAGAACTTGCGACTATAGTTGGCTAACGCTGCTCCTGATCATTCGCTTAACAAACATCGTAAGTCCGATCGGTTAGATAAGTCAGGAGAGTCTGAAGGCCTGAGCAGAGTTTAGTGATTATTGCTCTAGTGGAAGACACTGCTTTAAATGTAGTCTCTCTAAGCAGCTTGATCACGTGATTTCAGCTCGAGAACATCCAGAAAACACCAGTATGTCTTTGTTGCTCTGAAACAGATATAAATATGCCGTGTCTGTGAAAGCTTGTTGACACGCTCCCCTATTGTTCGCACAAGTGATGCCCTTCGCAAAAGACTCACTCCAGGTGTTCAGAGATGGAATGAAAATTGAGTGCTTTCAGGCTGATGGGACCATTACACCTTTAACCACAAGAGAAAAATGCTCCGTTCAGCCTTCTAGGATTACCACAAAATTACACCAAATGACTTACAGGGCAAGTCACAGCGAATCTGTTGACAGAAGGATCTGGACGCGCAGGTTCAGGCCGGTTTCTTCTCCAGCTGTAATGAATCATCATTGAAACGAGCATCTCCAAGTGCTGTAATTATAGTGTTCGACGGGTGAACTGCAGCTACTGTTCTTATAATCATTCACATATACAGTCAAACCAAAAGTTATTCGGACACCGGATATAATTATGGATTCATTTATGTAAGTGAGGAGAGCAAAATAAAGTAAACTGGGCAACTCTTTACGATAAAGTTAGCTCACATTAGTTAACTACATTAGTTAGCATGAACTAATAATGATAATACAGCGTTTATTAATCTTTGTTAATTCCAACATTTACTAATACTTTATTCAAACCTTTTTTTATGCACTGTGAACTAACAATGTTTTTATTAACATTAGCAAAAACGAATAAATACAATAACAAATGCATTGCTCAGTGCTGGTTAATACATTAACTGTTAACTAATGAACCATATTGTAAAGTATTACTGAAAACTGTGATATATTATTCATAAATATACAGTGACTAACAATGATTCCTCTAATTTGAGCTGGTGATGTTTTGCTGAAGTGTTTTTTTTTTGCTCTTTTTACACACACAGCATTGCTTGGTCACTGGTTGAGCTAAACTGGTATTATCTAATTGTGGAGTTCAATTTAAACTGAGTTCTGCTCATATTTTATCACCTATAGCGAATAAACTGTGATGATGTGAGAAATGTTGAAGGTGTCTGGGTAGATTTGCCCTCCGGTTGCTCCGAGAGCTTCACCTGAGGGTTCGGCTGAATGAAACCTCCTCCTCCACTTCATAAGTCCTGTTTAAAACCAGACTTTAA